AAAAAAAAAAAAAAGAAATTGTTGATGCCACCAATTGTCCACGTCTGCTTGATATAATGGATGTATGGGTTGTTATTAATATCTCTAAGAGCCCCGAAAAACAATTCATCCATTTTATTATAATAACATAAAAGTCGCTGTATACCACTCTGGATCAGGAGAGAGCTTCTGACTTTTTAATAAATCCATGCACAGTCCTAAGAGAGAGCCCCTGCAACCACCTCCAGGGAACTGATCAGAGTGCTACTCAGAGCCAACAAGGAACCACGCCTAGTTTTGTGGTTGTGATTTGTCCATATTTTACAGCACACGCTACATTTTTTAAATCAATAAAGCTTCATTAAAATTTCTGTGAATATGACAGGCTCAAAACAATGTTTTACAAATTCTTTCGTTTCTTTCAGAAAATGGGTTAGGCTACTCACTGATGTAAATCTCAAGATTCAATTCAGAGGAAAAAAGTTTCAAACAGATACTCACCGTTCCAGTGAATGTGTCTGCCATTCTTGTAAAAGTAAATCTAAAAATTCAAAGCAGCGCCTGGGAAGTAGTCAAATAAATAAATAAGTTTTAGTATTTTGCGTGTTAGGGACGATAAATTAGCTGTCTTCTATTTTATTTATTTTATTATGGTAAATACATAAATATATACGTGACAATGCATATGCCATTTAAAACAAGCTTTACATGCACAGTTCAGTAGCATTAATTACACTCATTGCTTTGTTTCTCTTATCCCGAACTCTCTCAAACAACCTATTAACCCATAAATAAACTTATAACTTAAGTGACCCAACATTATTATGATTGATAAATTTCTGGCTTTTTATAGTTCTAAAAATGGAACATAACGAACAACTCAACATTGAGTGCAAGCCAAAGTAAATGCGTGTAAGTAAGTCATCTACGGCAGTCACTGAGACACACAAAAATTCCAAAGGGAGGGAAGGTTGCCTTCAAATCAGACACGGAGCTTCATGACAGTATTGTTAACAGGGCTTATCGCTGTCATTTGGTTTAACCTTACTGCAAGTCTTTCATGCAATGTACATATGAACAAACCATCAGTAGGCATTAAAGAATCTGTGTTTGCATTAATTGTTTGGAATGCCTTTTCTACAAAAATGTAGAAAATACGACAAAAATATAGAAACGTTGATATTTCCCTGTAATAGTGTCATAATAGAGGTTGGAATTGGTTCCCTATGGTCACTCTGCTTTTTTCCCTTCAATCTTTCAGCAAGCTTCAAGCTTTTCCCTTATGTGCTATTTCCTGATCTGGTTTCTGCAAACATTAGTTCCCACCTTTTAATGATCCCCTTTTTTGGGTACCTAGTGTCCCTAGTTCTACAGAAGTATATCTTACAAACCATAGGGACCCATTCAAGGAAAACACAATCCGAAGGCTATCTTTTTCTGATGAAACAAACGAGCACCATTTCTATACCCATACCCAAGTCAATTTAAAATACCTAAATCTACACAATTAATCACTCAATAAGATTTTAATAAACCTTTACCTTGAGCTAGTTAGAGGAGTCCCAGTGGCAAAATGGGTTATGAGTTGCCTGGTAATCTCTGGAAAAGATGAGGCTTTCTGATCCAGGAAGGATTTATATTTTTTGAAACAAAGAGTAATTGGAAATTATGGTTGTGGTGACAAAAACGAAGCTGGAAATCACAAGGTGGAATTGCGCAAGACCAACACCTTGTTCATAAAAAGACCTTTTTTCAACCACACAAATAATTACTACTCATATGGAGGTCTTCAGATAGAATACGCAAAATGACTACATCTGTGGGAAGAGCCGGTGGATAAGCTCAATATCAGCAGCTTAAAATTAGGCCAGGTGCTCACTTTGTAACATCCATAGATAGCTCACATGCAAGTTCAGGTTCAAACTGAAGGAAATTAAAGCAAGTCCACAAGAGTTAAAATACAACCTTAAGTCTAGCCTACCTGAATTTCATGAACAACTCAAGAACAGATTCGATGTACTGAACACTAATGACAGAAGACCCAAAAAGCTATGGGGGCTATCAATAACATCATTCATAAAACAAGCAAAAGGTGATTAAAAACATAAGAAAGAAAGACAAGATCAAAGTGGATGTCAGAAGACACTTGGGAAATTGCTCTTATTCAGAGTAGATAAGGCAAATGGAAGAAGTTACGAAGTTAAAGGGCTGACTAGAAATTTTCCCCACTGGCTGCTCTGAAAAGCCATCTTCGCACTTGGTCTTGGGTCCTGCTCACCACAGCCTCCATTGCCACGGGGACCCAGGACGCTCTACAGCCTGTTTCCCCAAACTCACTGCATCTGCAGCGTGGCCCACCATGTCAGATACGCCCTGGACGCCATCTGGAGATCACCACCAAGGACTTAAAGGAGAAGGAGGAGGTTGTGGAGGAGGCGGAGTATGGAAGAGATGATCCCGCGTAACAGGAACACTCACTGGGAAGATGGGGAACAGGAAGCTGGCGACAAGGAGACAGGGAAGCAGGCAGAGAGGAGGAAGACAGGGGGAGAAAGGTGATGGTGGGGAAGAAGGTGGAGATAAGAAGGCTGAGGCAGCTACGGGAAGCAGGCAGCTGAAGATGAGGAAGATGACAATGTTGACAGCAAGAAGCAGAGTCACTGTACCAAAAGGTAGAGGCCAGTGAGGGTAACTAGACAGCAAAAGGACAGTTCAACTTACTGAAAAAGGCCGCCATGGCCTAGTCAATTCTCTACGTCCAGTCTCGGAATCTAAACGTGGTCATCTTCGAGTAGAGCCCTGCCCGCTGCCCACTGTGGGCTTCGACATGCAGATGACAGCACTCCCCACCAAAACCACACTGTGGATTTGCAATAGGAGCGGCCAAAACCGCCAAGGCTCTGCTTTTTGTCGTAAAAGCACTTTAAAGAAGAAAATGTGTTTTTATATTTTATTTACATTTTATATTTTTGTACATATTGTTAGGGTTCAGCCACTTTTAATGACCTCAGATGACGAAACAGCCCTCTGAGCACCCTCTGTCCTACTCCTGATTTTACTTGCGGTGTGACCATTCTCTCTATAGACCACAGAGGGGTGGACATTTTTTGTAAAAATAGCAAAATCAACAAGAACAAAATATACAAGCTTATTCTGAGCATTCCACTAACTGTTTTTGTGTATGTACTTAGCTCTACAATAAGTACTTGGTTTGTATGAGATGGTTACAAAGGCCAAATATAAAAAGGTTTCTTTTTCCTTTGTTGTCTATGAAGATGCTGTTTATTTATTTTTTGGTCTGTCTGATGTATGTATGAAACAATGTTGTCCAACAATGAACTGAAATTTTATTTTGCTGCGTTCTAACAAAAAAAAAAAAGGAAATCTCAAAGGACAGGAAAAGATGAAGCAAAATGTTATAATGAAATGTGCAAAGACCTAGCGTTAGATAACCAAAAAGGCACAGCACACTTAGCAAATCTTAGGGTGAAATAACTCAAGAATAAATCTGACTCGAGTTGCAATATTGAAAGATTCTGTAAGCAAATGTCGAATGACATAGGTGCATCAGAAGAAGATGGTACAATGGAATGTTGTAGGAGCTATGTGAGCCCCCAATAAAATGACTTTAAAAAAGAAGAAGACGGTACAGTGATTTGGTACCAAAAAGAACCAATATTAAACTCTTCAAGGAGGTAGCATAGGAACAAGAAACTATGCTACTGAAGTAAGAAATTCAAACTTCACCTGAAACATCAGTCAAAACAAAGGCTTCAGCAATTGATAGAATACCAATTGCAATGTTTCAAGAAGATCGTGTAGCACTGAAAGCACTCACTCACCATGCCAGGAAAATTTGGAAGACAGCTACTTGGCCAACTGAGTAGAAGAGATTCATGTCCGAAAGAAAGGTGACCCAATAGAATGCTCAAATTATAGAATAATATCATTAATAGCATGCACAAGGTGCAAGTAAAATTTTGCTGAAGATCATCCAACAACGTAGCAATACATTGTCTGGGAGATGCCAGAGGTTTGGGCTGGATTCAGAAGAGGACATAGAACAATGGCTATCCACTGGAGATCCCCTTGCAGAGGGGTTTTGGGGAAGAGACGAGCCAGTCAGGGTGCGATGTAACAACGATGAAAAAATACAACTTTCCTTTAGTTCCTAAATGCTTCCTATCGCCTCCCCAACCCCCCCCCGCCCCCCCCCACTGTCATGATCCGATTTCTACCTTGCAAGTCTGGCTAGACCAGAGGATGTGCACTGGTACAGATAGGAACTGGAAACTGTTTCAATTCTCGCTATATGGTTTTCCATGGCTAATTCCATGGAAGTGAACAATCTATTCCTTCTTTGTAGTCTGTTATTTGTCCGCAAACACTGCTGAAATTGTTCACTTTGGTTGACACTGCTGGATTTTAAAGACAAATGACATAGCTTCTAATATCAAAGCAACACACAAACTACCATAGTATAACACACTGACAGACCAGCAATGTTAATTCGGAAAATAGCCAACTGACTTAGAAGAGATCTATATACATTTTTTATTATGTTAATTTGGAAAATGATGTTATATTATGTGAATTTTGAAAATGAAGTCATATGATGTTAATTTGGAAAATAGCCAACTTAGAAGAGATCTATATATATTTTACCCACTAAAAAGAAAAGTGGCCCAACAGAATGATTAAATTATAGAACAGTAACATTAATATAACATGTAAGTAAAACTTCACTGAAGATCATCCAACAATGGTAGAGCAGTACACTAAAAGGAAGCTCCCAGATGTTCAGGATGGATTCAGAAGAGGATGTGGGAAAAGGGCTATCACTGCTGACGTCAGATAGCTCTTGGCTGAAGGAAGAGATTACCAGAAAGATGTTTTACTTGGTTTTATTGACTATCTAAATCAGTGGTTCTCAACCTTCCTAATGCTGCAACCCTCATGTTGTGGTGATCCCCAACCATTAAATTAGTTTCATTGCTACTTCATAACTGTAATTTTGCTACTGTTATGAATCATAATGTAAATATCTGATATGCAGGATGCATTTTCTCTTTCTAAAAAATTTTTATTATTAATTTATTTATTTTTGCAGGTGTATTTTCATTGTTACAAATTGAACATAATGAAAGCATAGTGATTAATTACAAAACAATATATAATTACATATTGTGACATATTTATTTCTATTGACAAATAAATGAAATTTTATCTTGATGCATGGTGGACCATGGGTAACAGTCTTCACGCCGGGTACTCGTATGTGGGCGTATCTGCATGTGGGTGGACCCGCCTGGAGAAGGATAAAGGAGCGGTGTCTTGGTTCCTAAGACCACTGGAAATATGTGGTGTCCGATGGGCTTAGGGGTCGTGACCCACAGGTTGAGAACCACTGATCTACAGGATTAGACTGTGGATAGCCTTGAGAAGAATGGGAACCCTGGAATACTTCATTATATATCCATGCGGAACTTGTACATGGAGCGGGAGGCAGTTGGATGAAGAGAACATAGGAAAACACTGCCCGGCTCAAAGCACGAAAGGTGTGCATCAGGAATGCATCCTCTCCTAATACTGCTTCAATCCGCATGCTGAGCAAGGAATCTAGAGAAGCTGGATTAGGTGAAAGAGAATGTTGTATAGAATTGGAAGAAGGCTTCTTAACAGCTTGTGATATGCCGATGACACAACCTTGCTTGCTGCACTTGAAGCCCTTGCTGGTGAATATCAAGGATCGCTGACTTCAGTATGGATTAAAACTCAATGTAAAGAAAACTGAAAACCTCACAACATCTGAGAAAATATTCAAGTTGCCGAGGATTTTGTCCTGCTTGGATGCACAATAAATGCTCAGGGAAGCAGTATTCAAAATCAACGACTCTTTGCATTGGGTAAATGTGCTGCACATGATTCTTGAAAGTGTTCAAAGGCAAGTGTTCTGAGGACTAAGGTGTGCCTGACCTAAAAATACCTTATTTTCCAACACCTCTTATGCAAATGAAAGAGGACACTGGATAAGGAAGACCAAAGTAATATTGAGCCCTTTGAATCATGGTGCTGGTCAAGAGCATTGAAAGCACCACGGACGGCAAAAGAAAATACAAATCTGTCTTAGAAGCAGAACACCCAGAATGGCAAGGATGGCAAGACCTCGTCTCATGTGCTTTGGACATGTTGTCAGGCGAGACCAGTCCCTGAAGAAGGGAATCGTGTTTGATACACTAGCGGGGCAGTGGAAAAGCAGCAAGCCCTCTTCCACGAGGGACTGACACAGTGGCTGCATTGATGGGCTGAAACATAAGAACAATTATGAGGATGGAAGATGAGCTTCATTCTGCTGTACACAGTGTCACAGTTGAGTAAGAGCCAATTTGATAGCAAAATACATCATCAGCTGGCTTCATAGCGATTCTCTGAAACAGTTAAATGCAGAACATACACGTGTTCCTCTCTTTTATACACACAGCTTTGCACTAGTCTTTGTTTCATGTACTTTCTAATCTCCCCAAGCTTTTAAAAGGTAGGGGCAATGTTCAACTCATTTCCACAAATTCTACAGAACAAAACCTGCTACACAGGTTGAACTGTCTTAGTGACATTATTCACTTGAGTTTGGGAGAGGCGATCAATCGTCTTTTCTGTGTGAAGAAGGCAAGGGAAATGGGCCAGATGATTCCTATTGCTTGTTTTTCATAAAAACACAAAGTTCTAACTACTGATGTTCACTTTAAATAAATATAGGACCAAGACTTATTAAGTATGCTTCAGAAATTGATGTGTGTTGGGGTAGGGGTGACATTTCTATAGTCACAGTGATAATAAGTTGCTATTGGTATACACTATCAAAGGCTAGAATTGCTAAGCATCCGGCAATGTTCCATAACAAAGAAGTAGGTCATCCCAAAATACAGCAGCACTACAGGAGAGGAACTCTATCTTACACAAAGGAGAAAATAAATACAGAACTTCGTTTGGAAACTTAAGAATAGTACATGATAATGATAATGACAACAGCAGCCACAACAAATTCTAACAATGTGTAAATCCTCTGAAAAAAAGCCCTCGAGTATAAACCAACCCAAATATCAGCCAAGGCACCTAATTTAACCACAAAACTGCATTAAAACTGTGCTGAAAACTCGGCTTATACACGAGTATATACAGTAATTAGTCAGTGTTAGATTTAAAGCTTCATTTGGGTTCAAAGTTCATAAAGTATTCCTCTAGCTTTCTGAGTGTATGCTCGTCTCTAGGGAATTTTTGTTTATTTGTTCAAGGGCAGATGGCAATCCTCAGACATACACACAGCTACATGGTTCTAAATGCTTGGCTAGTCCCCCTTACTTCTCCCTCTTGCCTTCCATGTAACTGTCATTAAGATGACGCATGCTTGGGAGGGTTCTCACCTGTGGAAGCATAAAGGGCCAAAGTAGAACATAGGCAATAAGCAACAAGGAGCTACGCTAAGTTAAGCATTAATAGAAATTATTTTCCAAAACTATGAAATATGTATTATTGTAAGACCAGCCTTGCTTTATTGTGATATATAGTAATCTGATACATGTGGCTCTGCTGTTGTGAAAGATTATTATTGAAAGTTTTATGTTATCACTAACTCACATTGTGTATATAGTGTGCAGTCACTAGGAGTTTAATCTGTACAAGTCAGCAATTTATGTATTGCAGTTCATAGCTGCATATGATTTCCTTTTCTCAACAGTGTTTCAAATTCTATACCGTTGGCTAAATTAACGACATTAAATGAATGACCTTATACCACAGGGGGTGATTAACAGAAAGTGACAATGATATCTCTAAAGTAAACCGGAAACATATTTAAACCTTGTCTATCTATGAATGGATTTTTGGCTCACACTTAATTGTAGACCCAAATGTACGAACAATTAGTTCTTATGACATGGCCCTGCTTGATGCTCACCCTCACAAAGGTATCACTGAAGATATGGGTGCTTTAGCAAAGTATGGTGGCCAGCTATTAGAAAGAATAGCATGTAAGGTCCTCAAACAACCAGTCACCTAAATGAGAGAGCCACTAAGGCAGTGGTTCTCAACCTGTGGGTTGCGACCCCTTTGGGGGATCGAATGACCCCTTCACAGGGGTCACACCTAAGACTATCAGAAAACACATATTTCCGATGGTCTTAGGAACTGAGACACCACTCCTCTATCCGTCTCCAGGGGCGTCCATCTACATGCAGATCCGCCATATACGAGTACCTGGCATGAAGACTGTTACCCATGCTACACCATGCTTCCAGTCAAAATTTCATTTAGTTGTAATTAGAAATAAATTTCACAATATATAATTACGTATTATATTTGTAATTAATCACTATGCTTTATGTTCAATTTGTAACAATGAAAATACATCCTGCCTATCAGATATTTACATTATGATTCATAACAGTAGCAAAATAACAGTTATGAAATAGCACCAAAGATAATTTTATGGTTGGGGGTCACCACAACATGAGGAACTGTATGTATTACAGGGTCGAGGCATTAGGGAGGTCGAGAACCACTGAACTAAGGCCACACGGAACAAGCACACCAGCCTGTACGATCCAAGGATTGTAAATAAACTCAAAGGAAGGAATGGTATCAGAGCTTAAATTGTGAACACCTGACTTGCAGGAGCCTATAGACGACACTGGAAACCGAACATGCACTTGCAGGGTCCCCACATGGACTAAGCCTTTCAGTGGATTTCCTCTGAACATAGCTGAGGGATGTGAACAGCCTGGCTATTAGAAGGGAGCACTGTAAAGCTGATTATGGAAGACAAGGCTAAGTTGAAGTGCAATTTGGACCAATTTAAAAGTCATTGTCAGTGGGAAATACACATGGCTTCGGCCTCTGGTGACTGCTCTGACGGAGCCCAGGGATGTGAACGGCCTTGCTATCAGGCAGACTGCACTGGAAAGTGGATTCATATAGATGCAGTTGGGTGAAAGTTTACAGTCTTATCTTTTTGATCTCCCTTTTCACACATTTCAAATTTGCTCTAGTTTTTAATATTGTCTGGTTTCTTTTCTATCTATTATGGTTTTTGTCATTGTTAGTTATAAATCTACAGAAACTGTAACTGGATTAATGGTTTCTTGGGGATATGACGGGAAGTTGGGGGATACGCAAAGGTATAATAAGTATAAGAATGAAGAAAATGTTCATTTTCTTCATTGATTATGATGATGATTGTGCAACTCTTTTTAATATGAATTACTGAATTCTTAGTGAATTACATGACAATAAAACTGCTTAAAAAAAAAAAATCCAAACTCTTTCATTGGGATAAGATCAAATGGGATTTCAGAAATGTGCTGAAGGAGCTGCTATCCGGATCTGCTATTAATCAGCTCAATAAGGGTTCCCAATAGTGTACACTAAGAGGCTTTAACAGCTATCCATGAGCTCCCTGAAGACCTAGATATGTTGTATGGACTGATATTCTGCAGAAGAGGGTCCACATATTTTAAAAGACTCTAATTAGGAGTCAGGCATCACTAATTTAAGCTAAAAAACCAGTCCGTATTCCAGATGTGATGAACAGCTCTCATCAGAACACAAGGCAAGACGACAGAGAGCTGGGAGCAAAGCCCTAGCTAGTTATCCAGGGTACACCTGGGTCTCCCGTACCTGTTCAGTAGAACCAGGTGATGGGCCAGGATTCTTAGTACCAGATATCACTATCAGAAGACACAAATAACACACACCGCCATTCCACCTAATTCAGTTTTAAACTGCTGTTTGGCGTTGCTAGTTGATTGAGATTCATGACGACCGCATGTGCAATGGGAAGGCCTGCTCCATAGGGTTTTCTCGGCTGTAATCCGAATGAAAGCGTATCACTTGCTCACCGCCATCGAGTCGACTCTTACTCACAGCAACCCTAGAGGACAGAGTGAAACGGCCCCTGTGGGAAAGCCTCCTCTTTCCCCCAGGAAAGCAGACAGCCAGGCCCCTGTGGGAAAGCCTCCTCTTTCTCCCAGGAAAGCAGACAGCCAGGCCCTTTCTGAACGCGTCTCATGGCCAAACTTTAGGTCAGCATCAGACACAAACCATTTGTGCCACCTGGGAACCTTAATAATAAATTACTGTCATTAATGTTTGTAATATTTTACTTTTCCCATGGAGTGCCTTTACTCAGGGAGCAGTAAGAGAAAGTCGGTCACCTCCATCTCTGCACAGCAATGCCCATCTCTGTCACACATGCACATACATTCATACAAATAAAACATAGTAGAGGTTGTAAGAGTTCACCTTCCAGAAAATTTAGATAGTGATCTTTGAACTAAATAACATTTACACAGTAACCTTATATAATATTAAAAATTATTTAATTTTTTCTATGGAGGAAAATTGTTGGTTTTGATTTTAAAAAATTACCTTCTAACTGCGACAGACTTAGAGGTACAGTTGCTTGTTATGACAGGTATTAGCCTAGGGATGTGTGTGTGCTGTAAATAAAAACAAAAAACAGATGTACATTTGAAAACCTACCAAAAAAATAAACAAAACTACACAACCATTTCCTTGAAGCAAATACACATTTAGATGAGTATTTCACAAAGTTTTAACAGTGAATTTTAAGTTAGCTGAGAGTTTTAAAGAATACATCATGAAAATATATACATACCTACATAAAAAGACATCATGAATTGGGCATTATTTGGCACCAATATATTTTGGACATTGCTTCAATAAAAATAGCCAACAATGGTTTTTGGTTTCAGTAGAAGAGCAAACAGTAAAAATTAACCCACAGAACCAGGAATATATAAATTTCAGTTGTATCAGTTTTAGTTGAAATACAAATTTAATAAAACATAAGCGTATGTTTTAGTTAAAAGCACACACTGAAGAGTTTCAAGGGTTGCTTCAAGGAAAAGAGAATTTGAAGGTGGGTGGGAATGAGACAGGGAACTGGTGCTTTTCACTTTCATTTCTGTTTTTGAAAATGCACACATACATTACTTGAATAGTCTAAATCTAAATAAATACGTACTTGTAAACATAACTGGATACTTCTCGCTTTGCTTGTATGCAGTTAATTAAGTAAGACTTCATATGCACAACCAACACATAGTTAAAATGAAGTGACATGTATTAAGGGGGAAGAATAGAAATCATGTCTGGAGAGATTAAAAAAAAGAGTAAACACTGAGAAGTAGATGCAGATGTTCAAATCAATATGAAAAACCAATGGGAACTCACCCATCATTCACATTAAGAAAGATAAAATGGTCATCTGCTATAGTGAAGTGGGTTAAAGGTATATTTATATACAGCATCCCAACAATGGATATACATTTTTAAAAGACATGGGAAATGTAGGGTAACATTGGCAGCCGTCGTTTCTTACATCCTAGAGTTATAGATTCATTTCCTTCCTTATGCTTTTCCCTTATTTTGCAAAATGTGTACTATTACAGCCAAAGGGACAATCACAGCAATGGAAACAGTCTCAGAGGAGCCCTGGTGGTGTGGTAGTTAAGCTTTGGGCTACAATCTGAAAGGTCAGCAGTTCAAAACTGCTCCGTGGGAGAAAGATGAGGCTTTCTACTCCCATAAAGAGTTCAGAGTCTCAGAAAGTCACAGACCTCTAAATCAGCATCAAGTTAATTGTAGTGGGAGTTTGAGAATATTTCTTGTGACCACTATTTACACCTTGTCTATTACATGTATAACCCTAAAACATACTTACACGAATGATTAACCTAACAGCTACAACACCAGATGTGGCCATGATTTTGGCACTGTTTGGAATTAAATTAAAGATAGTTGGCATAATGGCTTCAGCTCCATGGTCAAACTTGTTCCCCAGAACTGATGACAGATGCCTGTAAGAATAAGGAAATACTGCACTGTAGAGTTCAACTTCTTATAAGTACTGAAGCAAAGAACCTTCTAAACAGCTTGGAATTTTCATTTAAACTTACCTACGAGCAATGGACATGGGGAAGAGGTCCATGATTCCTGGTCTTTTACTTTAAAATATTAAAACAAACACACTTGCAATGTGCATGCAGAAGACCTTGGCAGAAGCAATTACCGTATATACTCGAGTATAAGCTGACCCAAATATCCGATCAGGCACCTAATTTTACCACAAAAACTGCATTAAAAATATGCTGAAAAACTTGGCTTATACACGAGAATATATGGTAGCCAAAGAAGGTTCATTTAAAAAAGAACCAAAACATCAAAGACATAACTTAAAAATTGTCTTCAAATAGCCAAAAATAAATAAATGGATCAATCATATACAAATAAACTATAAATCTGAAAATAATTACATAGTCATTTTTCTTTTGTACTTATTTTTAACATGTAATATTCAGGCTTCAATAATCTTACTGAAGTCATAATTATTAACATAAACAATTTCTCTTATGATTGCTTCTGCTTTGATATTCTGACACAATTTAACATACAAATTGACGCTTTAAACAGTTATGGTTCTAATTTGCATAAAATTTAACTGCAATATACTCTGAAACTGGCCTAAACTTGTATTAATTTCATTTTCTCAATGGTGTTTTAAGTTCTTTGCTATGGGCTAAAGTAATGACATGATCAATGCCCTAGGAGGAGGATTTATAATGCTCTTGGTCATAAAATGGTAATAGGTATCTAATGTAAACCAGAGACATACATAAAGCATTGATACATGAATGGATTTGGGGCTCACACTTTATTCTAGATCCAATCTAAGAACAACTGGTTCTTGTGACATGGCCCTGCTTGATAATCACCCTCATGAAGAGATCACTGAAATTATGGGTGCTATAGCAAAAGAAGGTTCAGAAACCAGATGGTGCCCGGCTATCAGAAAGAACAGCACGCTGGTGTTAAAGACTTGTCTTCAAACAAGCAGCCATCTGAGTGAGGAATCCACTAAGTCCACCCGGAACAAGCACACCCACCTGTGTGACCAAAGGACTGTAAATGATAAAATCCAAATCTGAAGGAGAGAACAGTATCAGAGCTGAAATGTGAACCGCTGGGTAACAGGAGTCTCTGGATGACAGTGGAAACCCAAAATCCATTTACAGGGTCCGCACGTGGAGTGAGCCTCCAGTGAATAGCCTCGTCAGACAGCGAGTAGTGTAAAGTTTATCATAGCAGATGTATTTATGTTAAAGTGTTAATACTTTATCATTTGATATCCCTTAGACCCATTTTAAAGTTGTTTTAAATTTTAACATTTTATGCTTTCTTTTTTATTGGGGTTTTTCAATGCTTTGTGTAGTCACTGCTGTTGGGTTTGTTTTTTGGATGATTTACTGTATAATAAATCCAGGATAGGTAGGTCTATAGAGACAGTAACTGGACTGGCTAGGTGTATGACAGCGGAGGATGGGGAGTTAACAATGAGTGTGAGAAGAAAATGGTCTCAAAATGATTGTGGTGGTGATTGCACAAATCTGAATATGTTTTAAGAATTAAATTGTATGATATGTAAAGTATATGGCAATAAAACTATTTAAAAAATAAAAAACTTAACTGCAAGATATTACTTTAACTTGGATTTCAAAACTATAGCACTTGCTAAAAACAAACAAGCAAAAATTCTGATGATCATGGTATATCCAGCCAGCAGAATCAATGAAACAGGTGATATAATTTTATACCATTTCATTTTTCTAAACTCTATCTATCTATCTATCTATCTATCTATCTATCTATCTATCTATCTCTATTTCCTATATATAACTGCTAAAAGTATTAAACAGAACGTTGAGAGCCATGTTATTAGATAAAATAAAGTAAAAGCTCTGTGAGACTTTATGTAAATGGACAGAAAATCTTGTAATAATACCAACAGAAGTGTAATTGGAATGGATCTGGAGACTTTACATTAAAAGACCCATCTGCCACAACCTATGAACCCTCAGTGACGCACCCTGACAAGGTTCTATTGTGATGTAGGAGAATTACAATTCTTACCCCAACGTGATACAAGCTTCCCGCACTACCTGAGACCGCAGATCCTTAGCAGATAGTTTAAAGGCTCCGTCCAAGAGACGCAAATGTTGAAAGAAGTTATCATATTCAGCAGCACCAGCCAAAAGTAAAGATCGAATCTTTTTTAGCTAAAGGGAGAGAGAAAATTAGGATAGACAAATTCTTAAAACAGTACATACATCTTCCCCTTATTAACTGTATCATCTGCCAATTTCATATTTATAACAATAGTAAAAAGAAAATCCACTAAACTCTTTTGAGCATTAACGATGTATGTTTGGCAGTAACAAACACGGATGTGCAAGGAAACAATACTGGCTATGAAACTAAAAGTTACACACCAGCTTGGCTGGGTCATAATTCGTAGTAGTTTGGCAGGTACATAATGATGCAGCCATCTTCGATATATGATATTTGATGAGCTTATGGGTAACGCAGATTAAACAAACTGCTGCTTAGTGAAGAGAGGGTGAACCAAATAAAGTCGCTGCTGCTGTCAGACGGTGTCAAGTTGGTTCTGCTGCACAGTGAACCCACGACAGAACAAAACACGCCTGGTCTTGTGCCTTCCTCCCAATTGGGCCTCTGTTTGAGCGCATGCTGACAGCCACTGTGTCACGCCATCTCACCCAGGGCCTTCCTCTTTTTTACTGCCCCTCCACTGGTCTCTGAACTGGTCTCTGCTGATTACATGTCCAAAGTATGCGAGACAAAGTCTCACTCTCCTTGCCTCTTAGGAACACTCTGGCCGTACGATTCTACGTCAGATAGGTTTGTTCTTTGGGCACTACATGGTACTTTCACAATTTTACATCATACTTCAAATGCATCCATTTTTCTTTGTTCTTCCTTATTCAACGTCCGACTTTCACATGCATATGAGGCGATTGAAAACTGTGGCTTGGGCCATGTGCACCTTGGTCCTCGAAGTAACAGACCTGCTTTTCAACACTTTGAAGAGGTCTTGTGCAGCAGATTTACCCAATGCAATGTGTCCTTTGGTGTCTTGACTGTTGTTTCTTCTTTTTTTTAAATCATTTTATTGGGGGCTCTTATAGCTCTTATAACATTCCATACATCAATTGCATCAAGCATGTTTGTACATATGTTTCCATCATCATTTCCAAAACATTTTATATTTGAGCCCTCCCTCCCCCTTGACTGTTGTTTCCATTAGCATTTATTGTGGATCAAATCAAGATGAATTTCATGGCAACTTAATAAGGTTGTTACCAAGCCTTTCTCCAATGCCAATACTGAGCGGTTCCTCATATAATCCAGCTTCTCTGATGATTTGTATGGTGAAGAGATACAACTCTGACACATGTTCCTAATTTCAAACCATGTGCTATTTCCCTGTTCTGTTCACAAAACTACCTTTTGATAAATGTACAGGTTCTGAATGATCACAATGATGGTTTCTGGAATTCCCATTATTCCCTATGATCCACACAGTTGAATGCCTTGAAATACTCAATAAAACACAAGGAATCATCTTTCCGGTATTCTCTGCTTTCAGCCAAGATCCATCTAATGTCAGCAAGGATATCCCTGGTTCCACCCTAAACCTCTGGCAGCTCTTTGTCAATGTACTGATAAAACTGTTGTTGGATGATCTTAAGCAAAATTTTACTTGCATACAATATCAATGATATTGTTCTGAATTAGTTTATTGTGCCAACCTGGACGATAAACACATGTGGGATTAATTGAAGGGCAGAGGAATAAATGGCTCGGTGAGCCTCGCCTTTCGAGTTCTCTGGTCGCTTGCTTTGTGATGGTCGCACCAGGGTGCAGCTGCCTTAGCAGTTCCCTGCTTCAGCTTGCAAGGCTCACTTCCTGCAAGACATCCCCAAGGAGAAGCCACATGGACCTACCCCAATGCAGCCCTAGGTGCTGGAGCAGCCATGCGGAGACCCCTGCCAGCGCTGAGATGCTTACACGTTCACCGACTCGGCTTTCCTCCTGCAGTCGGTGTCATTGCGTCTGTTTTGTGAGACGGAGGAGGACTTCGTGGATTGGTGTTGGACATATGGGTTAATAGGATGATGTTGGATTTGTGGGCTTGGGTAGCACTGGGTTGGGATGTTTTCTTGATGCACACTTAACCTATATATAAAACGCTGTCTTATACATGAGTTTCTGTGGATTTGCGTCTCTAAAGTACCCAGACATTCTATAACTTGAGCATTCTTTTGGGTCATGTCATTTTAGAATGGGTACACACGTGGGTATGTTCTAGTTATATGGCCAAACAGCTGCTTTCCAAATTTCCTAGCATAAATGAGTAAGTTCTTCCAGCGCTTCAGTAGCTTCTTGAAATATTTCAATTGGTAGTCCATCTATTCCTGGAGGCTTGTTTCTGGCTAATGCTTTCAACGCAGCTTGAATTTTTTCCTTCAGTGCCATTAGTTCTTGCTCATATGCTACCTCCTTTCATGTTAGTTTTTCAATTATTGCCACCTGAGGCTTGAATTTTTTCTTGAGTTCTTTCAGTTTAAGATATGTTGAGTGTGTTCTACCTTTTTCTTTTCTATTTCTGGGTCTTGGCACATTTCATTATATTATTTGATTTTGTTTTCTCAAGCTGATTTGTCTTGGCTACTCTATGATTAAGAGCAAGTTTCAGAGTCTTCTGACATCCACTTTGATCTTATCTTCCTCCCTTCCATCTTTCTTGTCATCTGCTTTCTTCACGAGTGACCCTCTTGCGGTCCTCTCACAGCTCATCAGTGTTCTGTCATTAGTGTTCACGGCTTCAAATCTGTGCTTGAGCTGTAATCGAAATTCAAATGGGCTGGACTTGAGGTTGTATTTTGGTTCTAATGGACTTGTTTTCATTTTCTTCAGCTTTAGCCTGTGCTTACATATAAGAAATTGATGGTTTGTTCCACAGTCAACACCTGGCCTGGTTTTAACTGCTGATATTGAGCTTCTCCATTGTGTCTTCCCACAGGTATAAGTCAATTTAATTTCTATGTACCCCATCTGGAGAAATCCACATGTATAGTCAATGTCAATGTGATTGTAAAAATATATTTGCAATTAAGCCTTTGGTCTCGCAAAATTCTATCATGTGATCTCCAATTTCAATTCTATCTCTAACAAGTCTATATGTCCCAACTACTGCTCCTTCCTCTGTTTCCAACTTTTGCATTCCAATGATCAATACATCTTGACTGCATGTTTGAGTAATTTAAAACTGAGGGTGTTGTTAGGATTCAATTTCTTCATCACTAGCTTTTGTGGTTGGCATATAAAATAATGGCTGTTAGTGATTGGATTGGATTTACTTGTATGAAGATAGACATTAACTTATCATAAACAGCATGTACTTCATAATAGAAATGGCCTTTTTGACAATGAATGCAAAGCCATTCTTCTTGATTGTGTCATTCCTGGTACAGTAAACCATATGATTTTCTGACTCAAATGGCTATCATCAGACCACTTCAGCTCACTAATGCTTAGAACATTGATCTTTATACGTTCCACTTCATTGTTAAAGAATTTCAGTTTCCTAGACTCAAACTTCATACGTCCACGTTCTGATGACTAATTGATGTGTGCAGCTGTTCCTCCTCATTTGAGTTGTGATCCGTCAGCAAATGAAGGTCCCAAAGGCTGTTACTCCCACAGGCTTCACGCCATCACATCACCGTGGGCGACTCCACTGGGAGAAGGCAGCTCTTCCCCAATCACACTTCCAGACAGAGGGGTGCCTTCGCCTACAACGTTGTGCTTCTACTCATTAGGTTCTCAGCAACTGTGACAATGTTTTCATGCTATCCATTAGGTTTTTAGTGGCTAATTCCTATGAAATAGCCTATTCCTTCTTTGTAGTTTATTCTTAGTGTCGGCTGAAACCTGTTCACTTTCGGTGATAAATCTGGCATTTAAAATACTGGTGACCCAGCTTCCAGCATCACAGCAACACACAGGGCACCACAGCATGACAAACTGACAGAGCAACGGTGGTACTGAATAATGAAAGTCCTCAAATAAAAAAGAAATCAACTTCAAAGTTCAAATGACACAAAAATAGTTCTACCCAAAAGGATTAGGTCAATAAATACTAAGTAATAATCTGAATAAACCTAGGCATCACAAATAATATAAAATATACCTCAATGTAATACATATTCTACAAAATGTATTGTTATTTTAATTTGCTATTCTGCCAATGAAAACTAAAAAAAAAAACTAAACTAAAAAAATTCCTCACTTTAAAGCTCAGCCAAGTTACATTTATTAAGGCACATTTTGAAAGAGAGGCACACCTTTTTAGCAACTGATATGAAAAAAGAAAGAAAAGTGGGCAAACACAAAATCAAATCTTTAATAGGACAGAAGTAGAAGCTACCACCATAGTCCATAGTTAGATCACTGTTAAAAGAGTAGCATAAAAATGTCAGTAAATTGCTCAATTTTAAAAATGTAAATGACCACATTAATATTAACTTAACTACTTTTATGAAAAAATTCACTGTGACGAGAGAGACCCTTCCCAAGTGATGCCACTGGGTGCACTACCTCAGAGCAAGTTGTTGGACGCTTGCCTAGTATGGAAAATGAGTACTACGAAAGCTCCTCCCAGCAGAGCTCTTCATTCTTATTTAAAGGCCCTTAAAGTTTAAATAGCATTACACTTTATGAGGAAATATTGGGAATTTTTAAATGACTTGAATGAAATGTAGTCACATATAGTCTATGACTTACAGCATTTACTCTTTGCTCCCAATCATGCTTGTCATCAGATAATATTTCCCTAATTTTGTTTATGGATTCCTCAAGGTCTCGATTGGAATAAATCTGTAAACAGAATTAATTTACAATCAAAATTAGGAAATTTACAGAATAAACAAAGATCGTGTTGGAATATTGTCAAGTTCAACAAAAGAAATTATTTCATTTTTAAGAAGTATTAACATTCTCAATAGATTTTTCTGAATATTAACTGCTTTCCTGCTGTGAGTGTACACCCTAGATTTTATGTCCATGTGTAGATAACCCTCCCAAGCCCACATAGCTTAGCTATAAACTTTATGTGTAAGAGGATAAAGAAATTTGAAAGGGAATAGCCAGTGGTGCACGTAGTATCTGTTACTCTTACGAGGGGCCATCGAGTTACTTCTGACCCATAGCAACCCCACTGCACGAAAGAACAGACCACTGCCCAGTCCTGGGCCACTCTCCCAATTGTTCCTGTGCCTGAGCCCATCGTTTCAGCCGCTGTGTCCGTCCATCTCCTTGAAGGCCTTCCTCTTTTCCGCTGGCCCTGTGCTTTACCAAGCATGATGTCCTTTTCTCTCCTAGCATGTCCACAGTACCCAAAATGAAGTCTTGCCATCCTTGCCTCTAAGGAGCACTCTGGCCATACTCTTTGCAAGACGGGTCAGTTTGTCCTTTTAGAAGTCGATGGTACTTTCAATACTATTCTCCCTGTTACTCTTAGCATCACTTGTAACACCACATGAGAGCTGTAACTCCAAAGACTTTTAATGGACTCCCACCACTTCTTGATGAGATGCTGCTGCTAACTGCCAGCAAGTCAGTCTCAACTCACATGTGCACAACAGAACAGAGCACTGCCCAGTCCCACAGCACCCTCACAACTGCTGTTAGGTTTGAGCCCACTGTTCCAGACATGTTCTCAATCCATCTCCTTTGACAGTCATCCCTACGGATTGGTCTCTCCTGACAACATGTTCCAAATATGTTAAACGAGGTCTTGCCATCCTCACTTCGAAGGGGTATTCTAGCTGTACTTCTTCCAAAACTTTCACAAACCACCGCGCAAGGGGTGGTTTTGAACTGCTGGCCTTGAATTTAGTAGCCCAATGTAACCAATATATAAGCAGGTCAAGAGGAGATCAAATAAAATGCTGTTACATTTTAACCAAATTCATCTGCCATAACTGTCTGTCTGTGTCTAATACCTTGTTTCCCCAAAAGTAAGACATCCCCCGAAAATAAGACGTACTTACAGTTTTGCTTGTCACTGAAATATAAGGGATCCCCACAAAAATAAGACCTCCCCAAAAATAAGGCGCCCCAAATCTACCGTAACTCTGGACTCTGGACCGTAGTGGCAGGCGCCGCCACACAGCTCACTGTTAGTCGCAGCGCAGCCAGAGCAGACAGGAAGTGCAAGGTCTCTTTTAATAAAACAATAAATGTATACCATATTCTTCTTCATGGAAAAATAAGACATCCCCTGAAAATACAACCTAGTGCCTCTTTGGGAGCAAAAATTGATATAAGACACTGTCTTATTTTCAGGGAAACAAGGTAGAAAGCTAGTCACCACATCCTGGATTATGGTAAGAGGGGATTCACTGGAGGCTTACTCAAGGTACTGACCCTGAAAATGGATTTTCGGCTTCCACCATGATCCATAGCCTCTGGTAAATCACAGTCTACCCTCTTTTCAATAATTCTCAAATATGCTCACTCACCTGTACTACAGGTACATCATCAAATGCTTTAATAAAATCCTCTTCATCGACAGCACCAGCTCCTTCTTTTGTAGCTGTAAAAAAGATTGATTAAAAAAAATAACAGTATAACAACAAATGAATAAAATACACTAGAGAAATATGAATATATATAATCAATATACAATTCTATCTATCTTAGCTCAAAAGTCACCTAGATAGATTACTTAGGCTGTTAGGCATAAAGTACTTAGATGATTTATACTGGATTACATATAAAACTTGAAACAATTCTAATGGACAGATATAACATGTGTTAGAGAAACAAATGTATAGGTTAAGTACACATCAAGAAAACATCCCAACCCAGTGCTGGCCAAACCCACAAGTCCAATATTAACCCATATGTCCGACACCAATCCACAAAGTCCTCCTCCATCTCACAAAATACACGCAACGATGCCGACTGCAGGAGGAAAGCCGAGTCAGTGAATGTGTAAGCATCTCAGCACTGGCAGGGGTGTCCACACAGCTGCTCCAACACCCAGGGCTGCATCAGGGTAGGTCCATGTGGGTTCTCCTTGGGGATATCTTACAGGAAGTGAGCCTTGCCAGCTGAAGCAGGGAACTGGCTAAGGCAGCTGCACCCTGGTCCGACCATCACAAAGCAAGAGACTCGAGAACTCGAAAGGCAAGGCTCTCCGAGCCATTTACCTCTCCGCCCTTCATTAACCCCACATGTGTTTATCGGCCAGGGTGGCACAATGAACATTAACTATATCAACATATTAAAAAACTACACTCTTTAAGGAATAAAGTAGATTATGTTATTGTAAGGAATCTAGCCTATCAAATTTATAAAAGATTCAAACAAGGAATTGTAAGGAATTTAATAGCTTCATTTCAGTATTTTTATACTCCGTGGTTTAAAATCAGGAAAGGTGTGTCTGGGTCAGGGTTCTATCCTCTAACCATTCATATTCAATCTCTATGCTGAGCACATAATTAACGAAACTAGATTATATGAAGAACATGGCATCAGACTTAGAGGAAGGCTTATTAACAACCTGAAAATACAGATGAAACAACCTTACTTGCTGGAAGTTAGGAGGACCTCAGGTACTTGCAGTTGAAGACAAGGATCACAGCCTTCAGTAGGGATTACAATTCAATGTACAAAAGACCAAAATCAGCACAACTGGGCGAATAGGTAAAAATCATAATAAATGAAGAAAAGGTTGAAGTTGTCAAGGATTTTGTGCTTCTTGGACCTACAATTAAAGTTCCTAGAAGCAGCATTCAAAAGACACGTTGTATTAGGTGTCAACCTTGTGGGTTGCAACCCCTTTGGGGGGTTGAACAACCCTTTCACAAGGGTTGCCCGATTCCTAACAGTAGCAAAATTAGTTATGAAGTAGCAATGAAAATAATTATGGTTGGGGGCGTCATCACAACATGAGAAACTGTATTAAAGGCCGTGGCATTAGGAAGGCTGAGGGTGAGACCCACTGAATTAGGTAAATCTGCTTTAGAACACTTCTTTGGAGTACTGAAAAAGAAGGATGGTACTTTGAGGACTAACGTACACTTGACCCAAACAATGTTATTTACAATGCATGTGAAAGTTGGACATAGAATAAGAAAGCCAAAGAAGAATCGATCCATTTAAATTGCGATGCTGGAGAATATTGATACCACCATGCACTGCTAAAAGGACAAACCAACCTGTACTGGAAGAAGTGGGACAAGAGTGCTCCCTGGAGGCCAACCTGGGGAGACTCTGTCTGACATACTTGGGACATGTTGTCAGGAGAGACAGTCCCTGGAGAAGAACATCGTGCTGAATAAGGGGGAGGGGCAGTGAGAAAGAGGACGGCCCCCATGAGACGGACGGACGGACACAGTGGCTGCAACAATGGGCTCAGGCACAGGAACAATTGGGAGGGTGGCACAGGACAGGGCAGTGCCTTGTCCTGTTGTGCACAGGTCACTTGAAGGCACCTAACAACAACAACATAAAAATATTTCCATTTCCTTGAGCTCATAACTGTGTCATCTTTTCCTTTGATTCACTGCACATTTTCCCTAAAAAGATGACCGAATTACTTGTTCTAGGATGATTTTTAACATTAAGAATTCTGAAAGTTTATGGAAAATGATATTAAAACATAATGTAATATTTCTGTTAACTTTTGGAAACATTTTCTTAAAGTTGTAAATTAACTGTTATTAGATTTGTCTTGTATCTCTATTTTTAAAAGCTGGCATCACTAACCCCAGAACACCACTGAGAGCCAGCTCTTACCTGAAGACTTGGACCCAAGGGTCGAGGAACCAAGCCGGCGAGTGGTTCCCATTGCAATGTTTCTCCGTGCACTTGGAGGGGCCTTGGAAGATGTAGAACTGGCAGAAGAAGGCCTGTTACCATCCACAGAATCTTCATCATCAAAATTCTTATCTGAAGAAAGCATATAAAGTATCCAAAAAAGAGAACTTAAAATATTAATTAAATTTATAGATCATTGGTTTGCCTGCTCTCTTTACAAATAAGGCAGCTATTAAGGAAATACCAGAATACATTAGCAAAGACGTTTCTTTCATATATTCTTTCATATATTTCATATATCCTCCTACCCAACTCTAAGAAAATGGGGAAAATATAAACAAGAAAATAATCCTTAAATAAAAACAACCCTTGAAAATAAGTTTGCCACAAGATATGACAAAATACCAATTTATGAACTATCAAGGGCTCATGAGGGAGGGGGGAGCGGGGAGGGAGGGGAAAAATGAGGACCTAATGTCGGGGGTTTAAATGGAGAGAAAATGTTTTGAGAATGATGTACAAATGCGCTTTACACAATTGATGTGTGTATGGATTGCGATAACAGTTGTATGAGCCCCTAATAAAATGTTAAAAAAAAGAAAAGAAGTTTGCCATATTGCTGAATGTTTTTCATGTGTATTTCATTAATAGCTAAAGTGAGATTATATGTTACATTAGAGTAGTGTTTTTCCAACTAACATGTCAATTCTTCCCGTATGATGAAATATCTTCCAGAAATACCATTTTAATACTTATACAGTATTTTATACTGGGAGAATTCCACACTTGTAGTACTCCTGCAACAAACAATTTCAATAATATGCTTTTAGTATATATTTGTCCTAAGACAAATAATCCCTAAAGTAGTATTACTCTGTTAGAGTGTAATGGCCAAATTCATCTTCAGAAGTCATATAAATATGTACTTCTGGCAGCTCAAAGAAGTGACCATTTTACCACTTTAGCCAGAATTATATTTTATACTTCAATCCATTTACTAAGCAAAAACATCTTTTATATTGCATTTTTTATGAGGTTGAAAATATTTCATAAGTTTACTAATTTCAAAAGAATCTGAGCATATTTTTATATTCTAAGCAAAATTTATCACCAATAGATCTGCACTTGAAGAAATGCTAAAGATCTGGCCAAAGGAAAATGACTGTAGATGGAAATATGGATTTATTTTACATAAGGAAGTAATAATAAGTATTAAGTATATAGAAAACATTTCCATTATATTTAATTTATTTTTAAAATGTCTAAAGCAAAAATGACAACTAGTTCCCAGGATATCACACAACCCTTAGTGTTCAATTTTTCATGTTGTCTCAGTATCAAAGATTTTTCATCTTTTCTCAGATGTTCTGATGGACAGAGAAAATGTACTTGTTACATTTAACACTTTAGCAACATTATAAAAATGTAGTAGTAGTGCAATTAAGATATACATTGCTGTACTAGATGTTACATAGGAAACTGTAAGGAAGATATAGCACAAAAAAGGCATTAAGAAAATGCAAGCTTCCAGACTTCTGAGAAGTTGGGACTGAGTAACGCATACCAGAGGGACTCCACAGAAATGAGCCCCGGAGAGTTACCAAGAGGGAAACCCCACACTGCTGGGTGGCAGGAGAATCATAAAAATAAGCAGGCACAGATCCACAAGGTTTTCAGGGGCTGGGGGACTTTGGTTTCCCACAGTGGATGCCCGCTAGGGTTTAACCTTAGCCAAGCCACTGTCTCGGCCAGAGACGGGACCATTTGGAGCAGGCGGAGGAGGTTAATCTCAACATAGCACCATCTTGCCGCCACCTCAGGGCAGGGATTAAACCCTTGCACCTCACAGGCAGGAATCGGGGCTCAGTTATATTGTTACTATTGCTTCTCTCTCTTCTCTCTATCCCCCCACAGTCTCAGCAGGCTTAGTTTTATTAGGGTTCCCCCCCCACTTTGTCTCTTCCCCATTCTTTCACATGCCACTGCCAACCTCCAGGCCACTCCCCTTATCCTAGGGCATTTACATCTGCCCTCCACCCAGCTAGGTGAGCTCTACCCTGTGCAGCATAACCTGAGGCTGGGGAAAGCCCGCCTGCCCTCCGCCAAGGGATATTCCACCCAACTTCTTCCCTCGGAATTCCTGACTGAGTGGCTGGGGGAGCTCTTATTTGTCCTCTGTGGGCCACGGGAATGAAGGAACTTCCTCCCTCCTACCTTAGTGCCTCACACAGCCTAAGGCAGCTCGGCCAACACTCGCCAACATCCCAAGCTGCTGCAGGAACCTCTTCCCAACCTCCACAGTGATCTACCTGACCAGAGCATTTCTGCCACCATTCGTGATGTTATACACCAAAGCAGGAAAACAATCAGCCTTCTGGGGCACTCCCCTTGAAAATGAAGCCACAGGAAGATAATGTGGTAGACTAATTCCACAATGAAATCAGCTGTAAGGCAGTTTGAAGAAGCATTCCAATGAGTCTACTAGAGAGAGCCGGTGCTCTTCGACTCCCTGGAAAATGGCACCTAGCTCCTCTAAAACAAAGCAATGCAAACAGCAATCAGCTCCAATGACCTCAACGAAAAAACAGTAAAAACAAAAGCCAATGGGCGAAGATGTCCTGAAGCTAACTACGTGCATAGAAGAAGCATAAATTGATCTGCCACAGAAAGAAATTTTGAGAATGCTGCTTGGAGTCATACAGGATATGAAGGGCACAATACAGATAATGGATGAAATGATAGAGGAGATAAAGTCCATATATCAAAGGGAATTACAAAAGCTTAGGGAAGAAATAACAGAAACCAGTAGCAGACTCACGGACCTCAAGAATCTACAGGGGGAAGCAGAGAACTGCACCAGTGACTTGGAGGATAGCCAGACAGACTTAAACAAACGCAAACAAAATTCTAATAAGATCATCAGAGAAGCTGAAGAAAACCTAAGAGCTATGCCTGATGCTATGAAGCAGAACAACATTAGAATTATCGGCTTACCGGAGGAATACACAACAAGGAAGTCATCTGTAACAATAGTGAGAGAATTCTTGGAGGAAAACTTCCCCAGCTTAATGAATGAAAACCAAATGACCATTCAGAAGGCTGAAAGAACACCAGCTAGACTGAATCCCAAGAACTCACCAAGGCACATAATAGTTAAACTATCCATCTTTGAGGAAAAGGAGAAAATCATGAGAGCAGCAATCACAATAAAGGTTCCCAAATAAGAATATGCTCAGATCTATCAGCAGAAACTATGAGGAAGAGGGCAGAGTGTAGTAACATATTCCAAAAATTGATGGAAAATAACGTAAACCCAAGAATACTATATCCAGCCTAATTATCGATCAAGATAGATAGAGAAGTAAGAGTCTTTCAAGACAAGGAAAAATTCAAAGAATACGTTAGAAGAAACCCAGCCCTACAAAAGATCCTTCTGACCCAGTATGGGCAGAAGAACAACACGCATCTATCATAAATAAGAGACCGCCACATAGAACAACCTCACCCAGAGGGCAACAAGGAGAAAACAGACCCCAAGATAGCATTGGCTTAAGGGTAGAAAGAAGTCAAGAATGATCCACACACACACACAAAACACACATACACACGTGCATGTGCACAAAACACTACTATGAAAGGAAGGTAGGAAAACACCCAACCCAAAAGGTATAACATGACATCACAGAGTCTGTAGATGGAGATAATAACACTGAATATCAATGGACTGAATTCCAGCATTAAAAAACTGAGGCCAGCAGACTGGCTTAGAAAACACACACCATCAATCTCCTGCCTGCAGGAGACACATCTCAAGACAACAAACAAAAATAGGCTGAGAACAAAATGCTGGAGAAAGGCATGCCAAGCAAACAGCAGTTCAAAAAAAGCAGGGGTTGCAATCCTAATCTCCGAAAGAATTAACCTCAAAGTACAAACCAAAAAGAGAGATAAGGAGAGACACTATATGATGCTCAAGAGAACGGTAGAAAAAGAACCACTACTCATTGTAAGCATATATTTCATGAATAAGAGACCTGCCGAATACATCAACCAAACACTCCAAAAGATGAAAAAAGAAATCACAGCCTCAACAATTAGTGGGTGACTTTAATACACCTCTCCCTGAGAAAGATAGACTACAGGGAAAGAAACTCAACAAGGAGGCTAGAGATCTAAACACTACAATTACACAATTTGGCCTGATAGATACCTGGAGAGCTTTTCATCCAATTACGATAAAGTCCCATTCTTTTCAAGCCCGCATGGCACCTATTCGAAGATAGACCACATGCTGGGGCATAAGGCGCATCTACATAAATTTAAGCACATTGATATGATACAGTGATAAGACCGGTGTTCCCAAAGGCTGGAAATCAAAAAAATGAAGATGAAGAAAACAAGAGCAAACAATTGTAGGACGAATAACTATTGCAAAAGGAGTGCGTACTGGCACAGATGGTAGATGAAATTAGAAAATTTCTAGAAACCAATGAGAATGAGAACACGACATACCAAAAATTATAGGACACAGCAAAGCCAGTTATCAGAGGAAGTTTCATGGCAATACATAAGCCTCATGATTGATGAGCTGGCACAAAATTTACAACAACTAGAGCAGAGTCAGCAGAACAATCCTACTGATAGCAAAAGAAAAGAAATTATTAAAATCAGAGCTTAGATTCAGGAGAGGGAAAATTTTAAAAATATTGAAAAAATTAATGCTGCTAAAAGTTGGTTCTTTGAAAGGATAAACAGAATCAACAGACCTCAGGCAAACCTAACCGAAAAAAGGAGGGAACAAATTTCAATAGCAAGATTGAGGGATAAAAAATTTTAAAAAGAATGAGGGATGAAAGAGGGGACATTACAACAGACCCTAATGAAATCAAAAGTATAATTACACAATACTACGAAGGAATGTGCTCCAATGAATTCAACAACTTGAGGGAAACTACAGAACACTATTACAAGAAACCAAGAGTAACCTCATCAAATGGAAGAATATCCCATGCTTGTGGATTGGAAGACACAATATAGTAAAGATGTCAGTTCTGCCCAAGGCACTATATAAGTTTAATGCAATTCCGATAAAATTAACCTCATCTTTCTTCAAAGAAATGGAAAAGCTGATT